CATAGTAGTCGATTTGAAATGAGGGGTAAACAATGAGAGCAGCGCACTGCTACAACTGACTCCACCATCCCAGTGGAAATTGCCTTAGTACAATGGGGACACCATGACCCGCATGCGCGTCAGTTTTTTCCTTTCATTATTCTCAATTTGTTTAATTTGTTCGGTATTTTCATATTCCAAAACTGTCCGTGAACTGTGTGCTTTGTCCTATTTAACGTTTTCTGTCCGTAAACCAGTGCAGTGGTTACCAGTAACGGATTTGTTGAAAGACTAATGGCGATTATAGAGAAAGAATTAACAAAGAATGCAGAGCTATACACACAGCGGGCTGTCGTCGATATGCCAAACTCAGGAAGAAATGCAGAGCCCATTTTCGCCCAAAGAAACAAACTAGCTAGGTGCATAAAGGGAGCAACCGTGTGAAAGGAAGAACTAATTGAGAATATGATTAGATGCTTTTGTGCCAGCTGTTTGTAGTATAAGTTGCGTCTGGATCTTGCATAAGGTGCATTCCTGAACGTCCTATTGGTCATTTCTCAGAAAATTCATTGGACTTTTCAGTTTGTTTAACTTTCTTTATGGCCACTGAATGAGATTTCCATTTCCAGAGATTCGAGTGGCAATATCAGTGAGATGTACAAAAGATTTGCTCTAATAATTGAAGCATATCTCCGCGGTAATGATGAACATATTCGAACGGTTGTCAAACAGGTAATGTACTGCGGAGTTGGTCTAACGATTTGTAAAAGTTCCGTGAGGTCTTTTTATAGGTGGAAATGGTGGATTATTTGCATAGATTGAGCCTACTTGTTAAAGGTATCCGCGAAAAAGAAGCAGCGACGGAGGTTAGTGGCTTTTGGCTGAACTTTGCTTACCTTTAATTTCTTTTTTCGAGGACTATAAGTTTTTTTTTGGTGAAATGTGTGGCGGTTCCAGAACAGTAATCGCTGTCTGCGCGGCGTTGCATGGTCTAGAGAACTCCATTTGAAGTTATTGTATAAAACTGACCGCAGTTGTCCCAACGCATTACTAGGATCTAGAGGAGAGTCGATTCTTTCCAAGGTTGGGCAATTATTCCGCAATTCCTCTCGAAGGCGCTATAAATGAATAAAGCGAAGTATAAACGAACCAATTTGGCAAACGACATTAACAAGGTACGCAAAAAAAACTTTATGGCTGCTAAAACAGAAAAGCAT